CACGTTGGTTAGTCACACACTCTAAACAGAGTACAATGAAAAACGGGTTCAGTGTTAAACTTACGGTAATCTTGCGTGATCGACGCCTTCCGCAGCTTGCTGTATTGGATACTGGGTTTAGGAACTCGTTTATTCCATTGACATACCTTGTAACTGGTAACTACCGACCAACTGTAATCGTTTATGCATCCGTCGTAAGGACCGCTTATTTCAGAGAAGTGATCGAGACTCCCGGCAAGAAGGCAAAATGTATCTTTGCTGCCGTCTTGAGGTTGTCCACGGCGAATGTATTAGGTTTTCTTGTGAAGAACAATTCAAGTTGTTTGTAACAGTGGCACTGAACTTGAGGGAGACGACTTGTCGACCGTCCTTGTACAAAACGATGCGAACGTGAGGGCGAAGTTAAAATCGGCTCACAATAAACCTTTATTAAGAAAACACTTTTTTAACAGTGTGTAATGGAATTATGTGCCATTATTTTCTCTTGGTCACAACCAGTTTTTCAAATTGGCAGCGTCTTTCATCTGCCTTCAACTGACAGTAACATTACGAAAACACATACCAGTTTAATTACGAGAGCTATGTCAGTAGTAAGAGTCATCGGCAGTTAACCCTTCATCTGTTTATACCATAAGTTCGCATTTTCTATGCACTGTTTCCTATACATTTCCCAAAGTGCTGATAAGGAGAATTAGAACTAGAACTAGAAGCTTCTCGAGGAGGTGATCATTTCCTTGTGCCTTTTTTTCAGGGGTGATATATATTGAAAGGAGAAATTGAATTCTAGTCATTGTTAGCAATCAAAGGGTTAATAAATTAAAGCTCTTTGTGCCACAGAAGGTTTGGAGTAGTTATTCATAACTTTCCCATCCTCTTCGGTTTGAAACATTCCCACTTCATTACAATACTGTTCTTACTATGAATCGTATAAGCTGAAGTCACGTCTAAGGTTCCGTTGAGACTTTCAAAATGTGGAGAGCGTGAAAACCAAATTTTACCAACATCTGGCAGAGAAAGACCACCAACAACTTTAAATACTATCACCCGGCCTGTGAGGGAACAGTTCTTAAGAGACAGAGACAAAAATTAGTTTACAAGTATTATTAATAGCCAACACTTGGGGA